GATTCTGAACCCCTGTGCACCTAGAATAATAGAAAAGAATAGGAATATTGTAGCTATCACTTCATGCAACTGCACAGATTTAAAAAGCAGAACTCTGCAGCAACCTAACAAATGTGAAACAAAAAAGGGGAAGTTGGAGATAGTATGTGGGGAACCCTTTTAGCTAGTTAGCTTCTGATATCTGCAGGAACACAGGCTGGTTCTAAGGCTGGAGCACAAATCAAATAGCACAGCATCAGCATGATATACATCCCTCACAGTTCTTCTACTTAGGGAGTTTCAGTGTTGTTTCAAGCCAAATGCATGGCTTGTTAGTCACAGGTCTTAGAAAACGGTTACTTGCAACTGCTGTGATAAATCCTGAGATCTTCCTTGGATCACCTTTCCTCCTTTTGTAAGTTAACACTGGGAAAAGAGAAGAAGGCAGAACATGTTCAGCTCCTGTGGTTATTCCTGGATCTCTTCAAGGTGCTGTAGTGTGCTCAAAGTGCTAACAGCCTTTGCAGGAGCGCTATAAGGAAGAGGCTGGTGGGCCAGCGCTGGCGCTGATTTTAGTATGGCTACTATCATTTTAGTCTTTTTTATTTGCAAGCAGTGGACGCCTGTATTCCTCTCAGTGGCTCTGCAAAAGGCTGCAGAGCCCAGCACTGAGACTCTTCAAGAGTCCTATCAATAACCAGGGAGGGAGATTAACTCCTTCATTTATTTATGAAAGGGCTTTGAAAACGTACGTATTTGACACCATTGAGAAGTGGAAGCCATGGTAGGGATGCAATGAGAGTAGTATGAGCCAAGAGGATAACTTCTAGTTGTCCGGGAGATTAAAGCAAGCTGACTATTTGGTATGCATATGAGCTGAGTGAAAGGCGGTGCAAAAAGGCAGTACGATTTAGACACAGCCAGCACCTGGGGATGTGAAGAGAGGGAGCAGCAAGTCAGAAGATGACAGATAAACTATAAGCATACTGGATGAGCTGAATGACATCTGCATCCATGGCAAACTAGGGAGCAAGCACCAGGCGTGGTTTCAGGAGAATCAATGTCACGCTTTGCTGAGGAGCATATTTATTCAGAAATGATTAAATGAGAGTATAGAGTGGCTGCACCCTGCAGACTAGCTTGTTCTTTATAGAAACCTCTTGCATACGTTAAAGCATCCTCCTTTCAGCCTTGTTGTTCTCCTTAGTGTCTGTAACTGACTTAGTATTTCGCTGGGCCACTAACCCAAAGAGAGTATGACTAAGAAGGATCACTAAGAACCTCCTGAAGGACATCTGGGCTTTACACTGCTTCTGCTCTGAGAAAGTACCCAGTGAGCTACACCAGCAGGTCACAGAGAATGAGCCTTAGTCAAGGTGGTGGCAGCAGATTTAATTCAGAGGGCACTCATGCCTGTGGAGTGGACAGATTGAGCACCTCTGGTCTGTTGCCTATTCTCTTGCTTATTCTAGGTGTCTTGTATCCACTATGAAGTGCCTGCCTGTGTTATTTCATGACTTGGTTGCATTTTCTACTGTGTGGCTGTGTAAAACTCTTTAGGATATGTATTTTCAGCATTATTGCTCTACATGAGTATCTGGAGACTTCTATGCCTGTTTTTATTCTGGGAATGACTTTTCTGGCATTGGTGAACAAAACTGCAAGGCTTAGGGCAAGCTGTAAAGCAAAGAAATGAGCCTGTTCTTGGAAATGCTTTGTTTGACATGCTATTGATGGACAACCTCTGAGAAGGCCACAACAGTTGTTCTCTTTGATTTAAATGCCTGGGATGCTTAAAAACCTAAGTAAGTCGTTTCCACTGAGAGGTGCTGGACAGAAAATGTCCCTTTGTTTATCAAAAGACGCTAAATATAAATCTCAGGTGACACCGAGAGCTCCATTTTGGCTGATAGAATTGCTGTCTCACTGGGTCCGTTCCTGGTGGTCATTACACAAACAGGGACACAATCTACTTTCTGTTGGTCCATGTGATGTCCCTGCTGATGGATGCTTGTGGCTGAGAGCAGGGCTTTGCCACCAGGCCGTGTGGGAAATGGCCAGCCTGAGGGCAATACCAGCTCACCACAGCTCCTGCTCCTGCAGAGCCAGCCTTCCCCTGCCTGTTGAAGTCAAGACGAATTTCAAGTAATTTGAGTTGATGAGCTAACCATTCCTCATGGAGGGCTAACTCCAGTTCCCTTGGGCTAAGAGCACACATATGGATAGCAAACCATGAACCACGTGGAGCACTGATTTGCGGACATGCCTGGAAGTCTCTGCACTTCTCTGGCTCACAGACTGCCTTGAGCCTAGTGTGTATCTTGACTCCAGGCCGGATCCTGCTCTCCTGATTCTTGGGAATCATCAGCACAAAACACCATGAATCTGGTCACATCCCCTCCTAGATCTTTCACTGCCACCCAGATTTGGATAAATATTGTTACTGAGATTTCTCACTGCAGGGTACTTTTGGGAAAAGTTCTGCTTGTGCATACCAGCTTCTAGCTGAATCTAACTTCCTTCCCCTATCACCAAACAAATTGCTCTTCAGCTTAAAGAGTTCTACCAGCAAAATGAGGGAGCTCTGGTGTGAGATTAACCTAGGCCTGCCTGGCAGCCAGGACATCAGTGGCAGCTGTGTGAAGTCAGCTACAACTCCCTATGGATGACACACTGAGGTTGACAAAAAAAAAAAAAAAAAAAAAAAAAAAAGCTTCAGGTGAGTTTTATTTCCTTATTTCCTCCTGTTCAACCATTCTTTTCCTCCTATAAAGTGCTACTGAATAGGACACAATCAACACCTGCTTCTTATCAGGAGGCAGGTGTGGGGTGATGCAGTTTAGTATGGGAGTGTTTTGAGCTGAGGGCTGGGAGTTGCCTTCAAATAGTTACCATTACTCCCTTAATGAAATATATAGCTCGACTCCCTCTTTAAATAGCAGAACTACCTTATATTATCAATCGTTAAAGCTTGCAAGCCTTTCTCAGGCCCATAGATGGCACATTCTAACTATTTGTGCTCTGTAAAGCCAGCACTGGGAGGGAGAGCAGAACAGCCTATAAGGCAAATTAAAACTGAAATGATTTTTTTCATTGGCAGAGAATTACCAGGAGGGCTTACTTTCTCCAAGGTCAGAGGAGAGCAGTGAGGAATACAGAAGAGACGCGGTAGATGCCCGTGGTGGAATCCCACCAGTACTGCTGAGAAAGGAGATGTGATGGCACAAAGTATTTATATTTTCTTGAAAACAAAAGCAGTCTGGGAAATGAAACAAAACATAATACAGATGAGAATTACCAAAAAGCACACTGCAAATGAATCCTGGAAGAAACACAAAATACTCTTCCATGTTAGCTATACAGCGCTGCAATTGTACACATGATGGTTCAGCTTTTGAAGGCTGATCCTCTGTTATGCTGGTGAGTGGCCTCCCCAGACAAGAAAGGCAATAGACAGGAAACGGGGTTAAGTCTGTTTCATGAAAGAAGTACCAGTCAGGAGGCCTGGATAGGAGAGACAAAGCCTTCTGGGCATTTTGTCTTCCTCTGCCAAAGTCCAATTCAAGATGTTGCAAAAAACTAAATTTGTATTTTCCTCTCCCACTTCTTACAGATATTTGCTGATGTCATCACCTTCCACTCTCATCTTCTGAGCACAGCAAAATAACAGTGCATGCAAGATCTGCCCCTTGATCAATAGAAACTATTCAGAACTGCATAAACCAGCAGGGGAAGTCAGAATCCAAGGTAAGGGATCTGGGGAAAGTAGTAAAGTCCTTTAAGACTTTAAGGATGAGCAAGTTGGTTGCATGAAAATGACCTTATGCTCTCAGAATAGTTTATAAGCAGATCAAACTATGGATCTGCTGAAGCTTCAGTGCTGCATTCTGCTACTGAAAGGCTCATGGAAAAAACACAAGGAACAAAAATAAGCCAACACACTGCAGCCTTCAACGGGGATAACATATAAGGGAGTGTGCTCACAGCTTTTCTGTTTGCTTATGTGCCAGATGCAGAAGCCAAAATCACTCTGAGCTCAGCAAAATCGATGCCCAAAGCTGTTATCTATTTTTCTGTGCCATAGGGAGAACTAATGCTGGTTGGCATTTCTGGTGAGACAGTTTTCAGTTTTCCTAGGTAGACCTGTGCACATCCCAGCATCATCTACAGCAGGATCCTATCCTTGGTGCCCAGACAAAGAGGCACAGAGGGCAGATGGTAGAAGGGCTGCCACCCAGGAGCAGATGAAGAGATAAATACATCCAACATTTTAAATGTACTGTGTACTCGCTGCTTTATAGGCCAGTTAGCATAGAGTCTGAATAACCCTTTGGCTCCATCCTTGAAGGAAAAACAGTAGAAATCAGCCTATACGCTTCCAAGATGCCACGTTAGAGGAGAACTCAACAGTATGCCATTTTAGTAACCTTGTGGTATGCCAATGAGTCAACTTTCATTAAGGATTATCACACTTTTTTGTGGATTTTGGCATCTTTTGCACTGTAAACAAAAGAAAAAATTGCTTTTTTCAGGCCAAAGTTTGCTGTCACAGGGTTAAAGGTAGCTTCGTAATCTAAACTGCTATCCATCTGGAGATCTGCAGCAAAGCTCACCAAAAGCTAATAAAATAAACAGTAGATGAAGAGAATTTATATTGGAAATTATACCAATAACAGCATTAGTAAAGCAGGCCACATGCAGGGGTGCTGAGAACTCACCAGAAATCATTCTGATGATGCTTAAAGAACAAAGCCTTATACTTCTTTGTTTTTGCGTGCAACAGTGAATTTTTCAGTGTCCTTCAAGCTTGCCAAGAATGGGAAGAAAGGAGAATTATGGAAAGAGCAGGGAATGTACTGAAAATACAGAATGACAAAGGGTAGAGAAATGCCTAATCAGCTTTGATGTGGAGCAGATGTACCCTGCATTCCTCAGGCACAGTGCTGAGGCCTCTCAGAAAACAGCGAGGAGGGAAAAATCTCCTGTATCCCATTAGCTTTCACACAGAACCCTCTCAGGAATTAAGATGTGCAGCAAAACCATTTCAAACAGCCCCCTCCAAAACTTTTCCCATCTGAGAAAAGGAGAAAAAAGCAGCCAGAGCTACAATCACACTCTTGGGTACACAGTATTACTTTTCCACATTACTCTTGAACTTACACACTTCCTAAAGCACCCCATGTTACCCTCAGTCTGGGGATTTTTGCTCTGCCACTTAGAAATATTAAATATGTTGTATGAAAGTGTCCAAATAACATGACAAGCAAATCAGAAAATTATCTATTTTTGGTACACTGCAATGGCAGCAGATGCGAGACAAAGACACCAGCAGTGTCAATTAACAGTATTAGTTCAGATATTTATCTCTAATAACAGAGATGATCCTTCCAAGCCATTAAGTCAGGGAAGAGTTCAAAAAGGGACAGGTGGTACAGATTGCTTGGTGCCAGCACTGGATACCCACACTGGAAAGCCTGTGATGTCAGCATTGCCATTAAATTTGTGCAGAAATGTAGGGTGTCATTCTGGATCTTTCAGAGATTAAACTGTGTACTATACGGTCACTTTCTACCATTTGTATGTTGAAATTTAGAAATATTCATAGTATTTTAAATGAGAATACTCTTCCATTTCTCTGGCCTGGTCTGTTCAATATGAATAAAGGACATCCTTCTGTGTTAACCTCTTGCCTATCTGCATTTTTTTTTTTTTATATTAATTCATCCAGTAAACTGATTAAATAAAGACAAAGAAACATAAGAATGAGAGTAGTTACAAACATTTCTGAAGCCAGACCCTACACATACAGATGTCCAAAACGTTCCCTGAAGCACTTGAGGCTCAAGCATAACGTATTGCTACCTCTCCGGTCCTGGTATTTCAAGGAATCGCAAAGGACCATCCCTTTCAGGCCATCTCTTGTGGCCAGTCTGGGTTCACACTAGAAAAAGATTGAAGAAGGACACAGACAATGGCAGGGAGTTGTGAGAAGGGCTACAACTGTGGAGCTTGTTTGAGCTGAAATAAAGCCTGCTTTATGGCAGCAAGTCCAGTGTTTTATCTCAACCATGTTGGAATAGCGAGGAGTCCTTCAGAGGTGCCAGTGTCTGAATGAAACTGAAACACGAAAGAAAAAAAAAAAAAATTAGGCATAAAGAGCCCTGAAAGCAAGGTAATTGCATCCAGATGTTTTAAAATTGCTTTCAGAAAGGAGTAAACAAATCCTCCATGAGCAAGACACAATAGCAGAGGCACAAAGAGTCAGAAACATTTATGGAGAACACTGGGAAGGGCACCTGTGCTTTCAGCAGAGGCATAAAAGACTCAACAGCCAACAGCATATATGTAGTCTTAAACAAGAAGGTGAGGTAGGAGTCATAGTTGCCTTTTAAAAGATTTAGCACTAGGAATATTTTGTCCTACTTAATTTTATTTCAAAATTTGGATTTTCTTGTTAGGTCAATCTAATTTTTTAAAACTAAAAAAGAAACCAACAGCATTGCACTTTAAACTGTTATGACGAAACTTGGATCTGATGCCTGCAATGCCTTTGTACACATCTTCCCCCTTTAAGAAGACAGCAGAACCCAGTCTTAAGTCTATGGAGGTACCAAGGTGCTCTACTATGAAGCCTCTCCAGAGTCTTCTCTTCTCCAGAAGAAACAGCCTTAACTCTCAGCATTTAAATGAATATTTGTGTCTTCTTCACCTTAAAAGAAGAACAGGAGACAACACAGCTGAATGCAGTTATGTTGGGAGCAAAGCGATTGGAGGAGAGCTATTACATCACTGCTGAGGTGAGGCTAAGTAGGTGAGCTGTCTCCCTCTCAGGAGGATGTTTGTAATTAAGATACCATTCCTTATCAGCTCCTCACAAAAATAAGAAGTACTTTGTTCTCTGGTGTTTTATTCCTCCTCAACAGGCAGAAGAGTAAAGGATTAAAGAGATTAAAGTGAGCTGAAATGCAGAAGAAAATTTCTGAAGCCAGACCCTGCACTCACCTTGGAGCTCAGCAGCTAGCTGCTCTCCCCTCACAGCTCTGGATGCAAGATCAGATAGGAGCTCCTCAAGCACACCATGCCTGTGCATTTACATCAACTGGCAGTGCCCACCATGCCCTTGCCATAGCATCCTGGGACTTTACTTCAAGCGTAAATGGACTTGGAGCAGTTTACTGTCTCTGTGCTTAGATTTTGATGATAAAACACTGTTGGAGGGAGTGGAGTAAACCTGCACAGAAAGGCCAAACCAAATAGATGGGCCATGCCAATAATTTTTATTGATCTCAAATTCTTTCATTTGCACACACACTTGGTACCAGATACTCCTACACTTTTCTAGTAGCAGACTGCATCTCTTTAAATGAGCAGAAAAAACAGCTATTGTAAATGAAATTAGAAGTGTAGAGTTTGGGTCTGTCAGGCCATTGTCACAAAACCTCATAAATTAGTTTGTCATTCCACCTCCTAATTCCATCTTTGCTCTGAGGAAAACAAAAATGAGATCTACTAGACTGTGGCAGACAGCTGTGAGTAAGTCACTTGCTTAAAATACGCTACGGAAGAAAGTGTTTTATTAATGTCTTCATGACAAAGCAACAACTTATTTTTTAAAAATGCTAAGATTATGAACTAGCTGCTCTTTAAATGGTTAAAAAACATATTAAGGTTGGTTGTGTTAGAAGTTTCTTCAAGAAAATTCCCATCTTTTATGAAGGATCCTCACAACCTGGGAGCCCATATTCTGACTGGGTGTTTTCCCAGAGGAACCTGCCAACCTCCCTTGAGGAATTAAAGCTGGCGCCAGGTTTATCCCAGAACCTCAACCTCCAACACTGCAGATACCAAGGCCAGGTCATGTCCTTCACAATTCAGTTCAGACACGCGTAGAGAAAACCCAACTGTCAATATCCTCTGTGCATTTCTGTTCATCTGCACCCCCACTGAAATTAGTGCATATTGTCACAGGCATTACAGCAAGCAAATCATGCCAGAAAGCCATTTTGGTGGCCTTTGCCTCCTTGCTCTTCTGCAAGCAATCATTCTGAAATACTCTAAGCCATAAGCAAGGTCTTGGATCTTCTCCCACCAGCAGCTGGGACTGAAGCATCTGTGTGCCCCCCATGATGCTACAGGCTGTAAAGTCAAAGTCATCAGTAGTTCACAGCTGTGCACTTAGAGGAAGAGAGGTGAAAGCCAGACAGAATTGAGCAACAGTTCAATGCGAGATGAAATTTTTGACGTGAGAGAAGCCATTATCAGCACAGAACCAACTAGGAAAGCAATAAAGACCACAGTGATCTTATCAGATTGGGATCAACTGCATTTCCAGTCACCTTGTACAGCAAGCCCATTGACAGCTCAGTTAGAGTGAGGGTGTCCTGTGCAAACAAGAGAATATTGGTAAAGCAAAGACATTTTCCTTCCAAAAAGTGGAAATCATTATTTCCCTTTTGGATCATTTTCTGTGTGTCAGGTTCAGAGATCCTGTTAGATCTTTCATTGTGATTTGGATTTATTCTGACCTCCATGTTCTCCTTCTCCACTGCCTGCATCCGTCCCAGTCCCTGCAGAAGGTATTGCATGTGAGGGCAGAAGGAATTGTCACAAGCACTGTTTGATCAGAACATTTTCCCAGTATATACAACCTAAAAGATAGGCAGAAGGACCATGAGAAAACTTACAGGGAAAAAAAAAATAAAATAGATTCACTTTGCCTTGGGACATTTCCTGAATTTGGGATTTGTCAGATTGGCACAGGCTCTGGGGCAAATACAGTTTCTGTAGCTAGTGCTATAAACTACTACAACCACTTTCCTTTTAGAAGGTGTTTTTTTTCCTGCTCTAGAACTGTGGTCTAAAGATTCCTTAAGTACTTTATTAGGCAGTGCATAAGTATTAAAGATTATAGAAGTATACCGTACAACAGGCACCTCAATTAAACTAGTGAAGATTAACAGCAAAGGAAAGGGAAGTAGTCTGCAACAAAATTATTTCTTCTCAGCACTGCAGTGAATACAAGTAATGCTAAGTAGGTAACGTCAGAAATTAACGACAAACTCTTCAAACAATGGCAGACAATTCAAACAAAGATGAACAGCACAACTTCCAGCTTTGTTCATCAAACCTTGAGAGAGTTCTGCTAAAGTTGAGAAGCACCTTTTACAAGACAACAGAACACAATCATGTTTACTATAATCAAGAGGTAGAATTGTTGTTCTCCAGATGGTAGCAAGTCATGAACAGGAGAGAATACCCACAAATGGCATTGACCCCAACTTTGCCATCTAATCAATGCTTCAAGTGAGGATAGCCACTAACTCTGCCTAAACTTTTCATGCTATATAGCTCAGAGCACCTGATGGCCTCCTGCTGCTTTGAAGTTCATCAGCCTTTAGTATCATCAGCTGCATCTAGACTTGCTCTGATAGCAGATATCCTAACTCCCTGACAGGCCTGTGTTGTCTAGCCAACCCAATTTGAATACATTCCTTGTAGGGCATTAGAAACACTGCTTTTGTAGAATAAGCTCTCATCTGTAACCATTTTTTCAATCTATGAAGCATTTTCTGGTTCCTCAAGTCCTTTATGCCTGTGCACAGATCCTGTTATCCGTTTATGATAGTTTGGCTTTATTCTGTTCTCCAGGTACTTCTGTTTTACTGTGCAATGTTTTACTGTCTCCTGGTAGCAACTGGGTTTTCTTACTCACATCAAGTGTTCTTTCTGGTGTGAAATGCCTTTATTTAGCATGCACAACATAAGAACATCAGAATAAAATAGCAAAAAGACACAGGCTGAAGTTGGAATAGGGCATCTAAGACACAATAAAAGGATAACCCAAGCCTAGCATACTAGGTAGCAAAGGCTGAGTTCAGACAGCCAAGCAAAACTGTTCACGTGCCATTTGAAGCCTGATTATATGTTTCATATGCATTTGTTACAGGAGGAACCTTATCTTTCACCTCTCAAGCACACATAAGTTGCAGTCAGGACCATCACACCCAAATCAAAGCGGCAGAGGTAGACTGATCTGGATTGCTATTTTGCCTTGGCTGCTCTCAGACATGCAAGGGGAAGACAACCAAACTGCACATAGGTAATCAGCCAAGCAAGTCTAGATTATTTCTGCCTTTATTCCCATAACTAGGTCTCTGAAAGGGGTTCTGGAATTTCCTTCACCCAGTGTCACCAGTTAATTACACTTAAAGAGTGTTAGTTAAACATTCACATCAACATTTTATTAACAACATTAGTATCTGCTTATTCACATTTTATTAACAACATTAGCATCTGCTTATTCATTGGTATGCTTCATTAAAAGTGAACAAATAATTATTTCCAAGAGCATATTGTTATTTACATAGAAGATTACTAATGCTACCAGCTAGAGCTCACATGGGGCAGGGACAAGAGGTGTCTAGAAAACACACTGAGTCTGGGCAGAGTAACTAGGTTACACAGCAAGCCTACATTACCAGCAAACATGCACTTCTGCTTAAGTGCCAAAGAGAACAGCTCAGGGAAAGCAAAGGCCTTGCATAACACATCTACATCATTTGCTATAATAATCTTTTCTCCTTTGCTGAGTAATCTTAGCTGTGTGAATGCTGTTCTTGAGGTCTCTCTGGTGGAGAAGCACCTAAACAGCTCCAAAGGCAAATCACGGCATTTAAAAGTCATTCTTGTTGCCCTGCATTAAGAGTATTCAACTAACTGAACTAGCACATTTGGTTTGTGATACTGCAGCTAAGAGACATTTACCTTAAGTATCTGTTTGCTGAGGCAAAGAGTACAACTAGAATAACAGTGCTTGCATAGCCTAGTATGCATTCAGAGCCAATGAATGTGCAGTGACTTTATACTCTGCCCTGCTGAGGTCCATGTAAATGTGAGCACTTCACCATGAAGCTATGGGCAGTACTAACACCCTCTACTCAGGTTCTCATCTTATCAGCATGCCAACTTCTTGCTGTCAACACTAGAAGTAGCCTTGGCATAGTAGCCAGAGAGCAGACCTCTGCACAGCTTATCTCTCCCTTAGCTATAGCAGAGTACCTGGTACTGACCCAACTGGGAGAGGCAAGGAATTTGAGGGAGCCCAAGTTTCTCCATGCACCCTCATCTCTGCTTTTGTGCACCTGAAGTTACCGATAGCACAATTTCACAACACAAAGATATGCAGATCTCAGCCAACACCATGTATCAGCAAGAACACCTCATCTTCTCTTAACAGTGTAGAAAATATACATTCACAAATCTCTAAATTAATTAAAAGTAACAGAATGGAAACAAGTAATTAATTACTCCATAGAATTACCAGAATTTGGTATTTAAGATAAAATACTAGTATAATCAAATGCTATGCAAGACTAGCTCACATCATCTAAAAGCCTGGCTTAGGACCAGGGGAAAAGCAAGAACTGTAAACTGGAAAAATTGTAATTACCATTAACATCTGACATATATTCCTCTTCTGAGCTTTCTGCTCAGTACCATTTATTTGAAGGGATAAAACATATTTTGTCAATTAAACTTCATCCCTCAGAGCTCTAACTCACCTCCTATGATACATCTCAGCCTGAGGCACCTTCTAGGGACCATACTGAGGTACAGCAGCTTTGCTAGCCTGACTCTTTATGGTCTGCAGGAGGTGGGGCATTGTGGCTGCTCCTCCAGACCTCCCTCTGTAGGGATTTAACTTCACAGCTGTGTGCCATCAGTAATGGTTCCCTACTGCTACCCTAATGGCAGCCAAAGGATATGCAAAGCCGGTGGTCAGTCTGTGGTCTTGGGAAACCTCTAAGCACACGAGGTTTCAGACAAAGTGACACATTTTGCATTGTTGGCTTTTGTATTCTTTGCTGGTTACGTCTCTCTCATATTTTACACAGCACAGCTGTATCTGAGCCAGTCAGATTTCAGGCAAATGCCACGACTTGAGAAATGAGAAGTACAAGAAGCATATGCCATTTGAACCTCGTGGGCAGTGGTATGATACAGCTGGGCTGAGCCTGCTCCAGCATCTGGTGTTTTGTTCTGCGCAGCGCAGTCATACAGGCCCACCCCACTGCCTTCCAGGCACGGCATTTCCACCCATTGTTTCCTCTGTGTTTATGCTGTATCTGGAGTAGCTGGGAAACACGGCTTTAGCATTTTACCCTGGCACTGTCCCCTTACCTCATAGTGTTCGAGAAACCTCTGCATTTCTGCCCTAGCTTGCTTGATCTCAGCTGCTGTCTGGTCTGGCTGAGGGTGGGTGAGGGCTGTCCATGGCTGTGAAGGAGTTTCTACCTCCTCACAGCTGCTCCTGATTTTTCCCCCTGTGTGCACTTGCTGATAATACCTGCCACAGCCACCACACCAACAGTCTGGAGATGTAGTAGAAAGAGGTTAAGGGAAAAAGAGCCTGAAATCACCCCCAACAGGCAGAATGTTTCTGTGCACATACAGTGCTTGAAACTGCAGTCATCACGATCTAATTTGGCATCCCTATGGCAATGCCTTTTAAATGCCATTACTATGAGAATAATGATGCTGATGTTTAATGGACAAATAATCTCAGGTGAAATCACACAGTAGGTTTCATAAGCCAAAGCTTTAAAGAAACAAGGCAGAAACAACTGTTCCAAGCAGTGGGTCAGAGCAGTGAGTAAATGGATTTTCTTCCAAGCAGCTGTGAAAAATGACCCCACAGTGACACATTTCCAGGATTCACGTGGGGATGCCACACATCTGGTTGGCTTCTGCTCAGGAGCACTGTCACAGCTGACCAGCAAACAACGCACATGATGAGGATCTTCCTTTTTGTGATATTCACAAAAAGCAGCTACAGGGAGATACGAGACTCAAAGCCAAAGCAGATGCTGATCCCCCAAGGGGAGGGGCCTCTGCTGGTGTCCCTTGTGCCAGCCATGGAGAGGACCTGTTAAGGTCAGGGCTGTCTCCTGAGCACCAGTTCTAATTGTGGTTCCTGCAATTAGAAAGCATTTCTAGGCAGAAGCAGATCGCAATTGTTTTTTTGTTTGTTTGTTTTACAGTGAACACTTGATGACTGTGAGGTGATAGCTTTGAGCAAGTAGTCCCCTGGGACCACCATGCTATGATATCCAGAAAAGGTGCCGTGGGTCCATACTCTAAGGGTCTGTCCTTAATCCACTTTCTCAGAAAGGATTCCAGTCTGTCCAAAGAGGATGTTTTTCATTTATACATCATCACATATCCTCACTGTGTTTTGCCATTATTTACTGCTTTATTTCAAAACACTGGATGTGCTCATTCTTCTTCAGGGACAGTAATGCAACCTGCTGGCTGGGATGAAATGAAGTCCTCTGGGCACAATGCTCTCCCTGAATCTGTTCACAAAGCTTTTTGCTCATTTCCCCCTCCACTAGCTCACCTGTGGGAGCTACACTGCACTTTGTGAGCAGTCACTCAGTGAGGCCAGAGGAACCTGAGGCTAGGACACCCTTCCTCCTCTGTGTTTGCTCAGGAGATAAAACAATGAGGTTCTCAAACCTAATTTCAAAATTACTTGCTACTAATATTTATCACCTGTGCACTAATAAGTGCAATATCTTCAACTGCCATCCAGCCCAAAAGATGCAGTGAATGCCAGGCACTGTTTGCCAGAGGACTCTTCCCCTCTTCCAAAATCCAGCTGAAAGCTCCCAGCCACGTGGACATCTGTGTACTGCCCATCCTACAGCTGGGGAAGCGATGTCAGAGAGCCAGGCTGGCCAGACGTGCTGGCAGCCAGCTTTTCCCAACCCCACAGCATTGGTATTAAATGTTGGTCTGACTGAGCTGCTTACACCAGGAATGCTAAATTACAGTGTTGAACAAACCTCTGTGGGACTTGAATTGCTTAGGGAGTAATTTTACTGTGTCTCTGGCATTCTGGGCATGCAGCTGTAATAGTTCTCCCCATCCCTCTTGTTTTCAGTTTAATTGAAGGGTACACGCAACCTCAAAAGAAATTAAATATGCACATGCTTAGATACAGAACACACACAAATTTTGGTTTTTAACCTGTGCATTTGTTAATATCTACATACTATGGATATATATAGTGGCATAGCCACAGACACACTAAGTGCATATATGCAGCAACGTGGGGCTAAAGTAAAGTAGCCCCTGGAGCTACCTACTTCACATTAAGGTGAACTTTTGATTCCTACCCACGAAGCCCTGCTGCACACCAACAGAGTGAGCATCCCTATTGGCTTACTCATATGTGGGACTTCAAGGGCCAGAGGCATGTTTTGTAGCCTAGACTGCACTCACTGCAGGCCTGCAGAATATGGCTCCCTCCTCAAACAAATGTAAACAGGATGAATACGTATTAGCAAAACGGGCTAAATAAGATAGATCAGAAAACAGAAGAAAATCAAGAATACAATTTATTTTCGTGTCAGGGTGGGAGTAAAATATACCTTTCATTCCTCCTAAGCATCGGCCTTTAAGTATCTCTGTCCTGACTTTTCCAGGTACAATTCTAGACTACAGCAGCTCACTTGCAGTCACCCTCAAATGTCTTCAGCAAAACAGTTGCTCTAGTTTGATCAGTTCTGAAAAACTGGAAGTTATTAATGCGACATCTATATCATGAAGTGAACATAGCTCGCATCCAATAAAATAACTTCAAGCCAGTGCCACTGAGCTGTGCTCCCTGGCCTGCAATATTAAAAGGATTATTACTTCTGTTCTGCCAAATGGTGACCAAGCAGCAGGAACGCTGCCATAGTGCTGAGCTGTGTCCTTGTCACCTCCCTGAGCCCTCAGTGTTCCCTGCTCTGTCATCAGCATTTGGGAGCGCTTGGAGAAAGGCTGGACACCTGAGTACCCAGATAAGCCTCTCTAGCTCTGCACAAGCTCTCCTGCAGCTCAGCACCAGCTCACAGTGCTCCTGCGAGGTGAAGAGGCAAGCAATGAAAGTGCTGTTTATTGAGAACCAAATGCCTTCCTCACCCATTGTAATTACCCAAACTAGTCTCCTGGCATTCACTGCTCCTGTGTCTCCACTTACAACAAAAGCAGCTTCTTTTTTATGGCTGCCCAGCTGAGCTGTCATAAATGCAAGTTGTGCTTTATTACCCCTCAGTATAATTTACAACTAAGAAAGGAACCTAACTGCCTGTTCTTACAGGAGAGGAGCACAGAGCAAAAACAAAAGGGATACACAGGGACCAGTCACCTTCGGCCAAATAAGGCTTAGGACAGAGTTTGTCAATCCCCACCTGCATGTCAGGCTGACCCACATGAGGTGTCACTCTTCTGCTGCAGATGAAAGCACAACTGGCAGATTATACTGTAGTCAGACTCATGCAAACATCACTCCTGGCAATGCCACATTGCAGAGAAATCTTCCCAGTCTGCTCTTAGCAGCAAGTGCATTGCTGGTGAGGCAGAGGCTAACACAAGCTTCATTTGGCACCTGTGCAAAATCTCCCATTTGTGCATGAAATGTACATTTCCTTGACTGCTGTGAGACAATCACATCCAGTTTCCTGATCTGTGGCTTCTAAAACTTGCTTGCATAAAGAATCGAGGAGGCGAGGGAGCTCAGACAAGCAGGGAGAGGCTGCTGTGGAACCCAGAACTGGAAGGCACTGGGAAAGCAACAACTACAGAAAGCATTCTGAGAGAACATGAAGCTTGAGAGAAACAGCATGATCATTAAGTGATAGCACAACTGGTAGAAAGCATAAAGGGAAGGAAATAGGGAGTCATTTAATTTTGTTGATTCTCAGATATAACGTAGATCATTTCATTTAATGTTAATTTTAATTAGCTCCCATCTGTTGCAGAAATGTAACCTGTGAACTTTAGCTGCTTTTCCCGGCAGTCAATTATCTCAATTACCAAACCCCATCACCCCACACCACAGCAGAGCTAATTGTTCCCAGGAGAAGGGCTTAGTGATGGGATGAGCTGTAGCAGATGTTGGTTGCACTGGGGCTCAATGTACGGTTGCAAGACATGTAGGTTCTCTGCTGACAAGGAGGAAATGGTGTCTACATATATCAGACAAAGCTGTAATTTCCTCTAACATTGGCCCATGTACAATTTTATGCAGAAATGAATATGTGAAAATATTTCCACGAGTACTGGCTGAAATACAGAAGAGCTTCAGCCACAATTCTCAGCTGTTTCTTTTCATGTTGCAGTTACAGCTGGCTGAAGTCTACTTTTAACACTTGCTTGAGGTGAGTGTTGGGACTGTGAAAAACTGCCCAAAGGACTCAAATAAATCATGTAAAGATGTAAAGTCAGGTTTTTCAAAACTGGTACTACGCATTGGAAAGGAGTGGAAAGGCAATTTACATGCGTGTAATGTTGTCATTTACAATGTCAGCAGAACTGAGATCTGGATGCTCCAAGTACTCTTGACACAACTGTAAAATGAAAGGTGCAGTAATTTAGGATAAGTCACAATTTTCCTTCTTTCAAAGAACTCGATTTACTGTAACAGTCCTTCCTAAGAACACATACATGCAACACTTTTTATTTCATGATTGGGTTCAAAAGTCTCAAAGAAGAGATTCAGCTAGGAAGGAACTAATGAATGGTGCAGTGATAGCTATGATGATCTCTGGTAGCTGCGTGAATTTGACAGGAGGGAATGAAATGTTAGCTCTGCTCCCATGCAC